GACCACCCTTTTTCGTGAACTTTTTCTTCACTCCTTCCATTTTTTTCTTTCACGCGCTTTCTTTCCCTCTCTCTCTCTTTCTCTCTCTCTCTATGTATCTATCTATCTATCTATCTTTTTTACTTCGTGTAGAAAGTTTCTACGTTGGATCAAAACCTATCGATTAAGGTGAACCGAGACGAAACACAATAGGGAAACAATCACGACGTTTTCTCCGACATTTAATCGATACTTTTTTTTTTCTTTTATTTTCTATATAATGCATTAATTAATACGTTTATCTGTAACTATCTTTATCTTTTTATTTTTTTTTTTATTTTTTTATTTTTTTTTTTCTTTTTTTTTTACTTTTTTATCTCTTTGAAATCTTAATCTTCGTTCATCGTATCGTTATAAAATTATTTGCCAGCTCGTATACGAAGTTTTCGACGATTTTTTCTTTTTTTTTTCCTTGTTTTTTTCTTCTTTTTTTAAAGAAACGTATATAACGTAAAGGAAAAAAGTAAAGAAAAGGGAAAAATGGGGAAACAAATTATTCGTTCGAAATATTTTTTCTCGTTTCGAGGGTAAAAAGAAAATTAGATTATAGAGGGTTAAAAGAGAAAAAGAAAAAGGAAAAAAATATAGAAGAAATAGTCTTTGTTCCTTTCTTTTTTTTTTTTTTTTGATTCGATTAAACTTGTTCCATAAAAATTTGATAAATATTCTTTTTTTTTTTCTGTGTAACTTTTTCGATTCAATCTTTATTGTCCTTGCTATTTATTGAGTCAGTATCATTAAATGTAACAATAGATATTATAATAATTATTAATGTATTATTAAAAAATATTAATAGATAAGTGATATAAATGTTGTAATCCAAGGGACAATTCTGACACTTAATTATTTTTAACAATATTAATCAAAAAAAAAAAAATATATATATATATATAGATATATACCGACAGATTTTATTATGACAAAATATTTATTGTTAATAAATAAAAAAAAAAAAAAGTAAAAAATTATTGATCAAAATAAATAGAGATAGATCCGTATTTAACTTTCTCGATCTAATATTCGTATTCACTATATATATACACACATACATACATAAATACAAATAGTATACCATCGTCGTCGTTCGCGAAAGAGAATATATTGTTTCTCGATAGAAAAGGGTAATTAATTGTTTTAAAACGGGGGTAAACTCATTGTCGTCTCGGGCTATTAACCGATGCCGTTTAAAGTAGGTATCTACTACCGTCTCTAGTTTCAACATTATCGGTTGTTACGAAAGGATCGGGTCCGACTATAGCGCGCGTTATTCCTGAAGGCCATTAATTATTCTTCGACCCGAAGGAGCCGTACATCTTGCGAAGATCGTTCGGTAGGGCCCAGGATTCTTCTTCGTAATCACGAACTTTACGAAGCCTTGATGCTCGCAAAAGTAGTCAAGAATTTTGTATACCTACCATTCTTCTTAAGAATTATTATTCGTATTTAAAAAAAAAATTAAAAAAAAGAGAGAGAGAGAGAGAGAAAACAAAAATGCTTAGCCGATATATATATACATACATACATATATATATATATATATATATATATACATATATATATGTATGTGTATATACATATAATAGTTACTATTGAGCAATAGATTATACAGTTATAGTAGGAAGTTAAGAATGACCTTTCGACTTAGAAACGTGTCTAATGTATTATCGATTTGACCCTACTCTCGATGAACAACGTTTTATTACTTTCTTCTTTTTTTATCATCCTCTACTTCTTCTTTTCTTTTCCCGTTCAAACTAAATTCTACCTATAATTGGATTTTTTTTTAATTATTAATATAATAACTTTTTACGATATTTAAAGATTGACTTTGAAATTACACATCTACATGTACGTGCATATATATATATATGATCAGAGTTGATTAAGAATATATCAGGAAAATAATATAGACATATAGTTATACATATATGTATTCACACTGTATGAGATATATATAATACATATATGTATATATATACGTACCTACATTATACAGGTAAAAGTAAGTTAAGAATAAAAAAGAAATTAATTAATTAATTAATTAATTAATTAATTAATAACAAAATTATGATTAATAATGAATTCAACGAATATTATTTAAAAGATTTGCGTCAGAAAAACATGATTTATCAATATGTAACGATCGTATGGAATAGTAATGTCGAGATGCAAATGTATCCGGTATTCTCATCGTTATACACCGGAGTAATTGGATAAGCTTGGGGCTTTAAAGTCGATAATACTCCATTTAAGAAGCATACCGTGACCAGCACAAGCTTGCATGTAAAACCCATGAAAACAACTGCGGTAATACATAATCCATAAATCCTCTATAGTCTATCGTTTACGATCGATCTTATTATTATCCCAAGATAATTTGGGATTGGCGACATTGTGAAGATAAAGAAAGAAAAAAGAAAAAAGGAAAAAAAAGAGGACTGCTTGGGAAAGCTAGAATCAA